TGTAAAATCAGATGATTTGTAATAAGATTTCACATATACACCAAGGTTTCATGTGAATAATGAACAATCCATAAGGGTTAGTTAAATAAGGGATTTCACATCTTTGTTTACAGTCCATTGCTGCTATTTGTACCACTATAGCATTTTCACAATGCATCTTAAAACTCACTTGCTGAAAGCACATAACGGCTTAACCTCGAGATTTTCTTGCCACACTTGATTTTATTTGTACTTGTCTTCAAATAAACTTTAATTTTTATTATCCCCTAATGTCATACAGGATTTTAGAATGAATACTATTGATTCTGTAAATCCAGTATTACACAATTTTCTTTTCCCTGAACCCCTGCGTTCTCTGACGTACCAGCAACATCCTCTGATGCTTCATTTTCTTCTTCTTCTAGTATTTCAAAAGGCGTCATTACATCATACAGAAATGAGAGGAAACCATAAACCCAATCTGAGGATTCCTCTGTTATAATATCTAGGACTTCCTCGAGTGTATCAATTTGTTCATTACTACCATCACCTTTAGTGAGGCCTACACAAGAATAAAAAAGGAAAAGGAGAGAAAAGAAAGAAGAAGTGGTCAGACAGAAATGGAAAGAATATAGAGCAGCAGGGTTTTACATCCCACATCTGATCCTATTTACAAGAAAACAGGGATGTGCATATCAAAGCATTACAGCTAAAGGACAGGTCATGTTTCCAGGAAGAATTCTGGTTTTGGCCTTCATTTTACTCTTTCTGCATACCCACCAGTACAGCCCCTGAATAAAAATTAATACTTTTGCATTTACAACAAGCGAGTGCAAGCAAAGACTTTACTCAGCAAAATGCTTCAATTAATCAATTTCCATGATTGAACTGAGAGTGTCCAAACATTGCCAATAGAAGAACCAGAATTCTAATGACTGATATGCAAATCAGGAAGTTACTTCGGTATGGCAACCCTACTTTTTTGCCGCCTGTATTCTACAGCCACAGAATCCATTTGTATACAATGAATGGTGTGTACGCTGGTCCACAATGTTTTCAAACATTTGAATATGTAACAAACGGATTAAAAACAAATAAACAGATATAACTTATTCAGCGAACATATTTTTTAGTGCATTGCAGCTCAAATTGAAATCAATAAAAGTTCAACTTGAGACTGTGCACAGCAACCAATCCAAATAAATCTTAGATTGCATTTGAGACAAGTAGTTTTCTTAATTTTCATTCCCATATTGGATGGAGCATACAGGAGCAGACACAGAAAATAGATAAGTAAAAGAACACAAATACTCTGCTCAAAGTAGATAACTCCTCCCACAGGTTATTGCACACCACCTCAATAGAATATTGACACATTATATTTGAAACCCTAATGCCTGACACAAATGATACAGTTGTGAAGCATTAAGTTAGAAGAATAACTTAAGTTGCTTTGAAATTTACTTGAGGTCTAATTCCCCCTGGAGAACATAAAACCATAGATACCAAATGCTATTAAACAGATTTTGCAATCCCAGGCCATGTTTCTTAGTTGCAGTAACTAAACATTGTGAAATATTTATTAAATTGTATGAAACCTAGAAAATCAAATCTGTAAACTATTAGGCAACAATTCTCAAGGTTCAATACTGAGTTTTAAAACTATCAGAATTGTAATTGGTTTCACAGTTTCATTATGATGCACATAAAGCTGTTCTGAAAATGTTACATATTTAAAGTATTACACTTCAATTTACCGACATAATAGTTTTTGCACTTTTAATTGTTTTGTATCCCTTCAATAGCAATGCTGCATCAAGATTTAGTTGATAGCAAACAGTAATGTTTCATGCTCTCCACCTTTACATTATTTCCCTGCGACACCAGCAAATGCATTAAGCAGCCTGAATTGAGTAAATGAAGTGGTGGTATTGGTTCTAGAAGTTGCAGCATCAAAAGCAGATGTTCTACAGGCACCTCCAGACGCAACACCAAAACTATAATATAAGCCAGGGCCACCAGTAGCCATAATTCACATAGGCCTACACTCCCCATGTCCCAAAAAGCCTGTATTTAAATAAATAGTTAAGAACCGCAAAATAAACAAATGTTGTTCCAGTTCTGTGGCATTTCCTGACAGTATAGAGGAAACAGCTTTGCAAAATATTCTTCAGCTGATCCTGCAGAACTGCTTCTTTAAAAAGGTCTTGCAATATTAATGTTCATTACGTTACTAAATTATACGCATGGTACAAACTTTTCAAAAACAACTGAAGTATATATTCTACAACATTGAAAGGATGATTTTCAAGTTATACAAATGGGAAAGATCAGAATAATCTTAAGAGTACTCAATGTGTAAGTATCAAATTTATTTTAACTTAAAAATCTTGAAATGTAATACATTATAAACATCAAATGGCAACTTGTATAAAACTTATTTGCTCCAAATGGCCTGTCGTGATTGCATACACTATGGCTAGAATTTTGTGGTAACTGTCGAGTATGGAAATGAATCTTTCAATAATTTGTCTTTTGCTCTCCAGTGCACGTGAGCAAACATTTGAAAAGATGATCCCAACAATCTAAAAGTAGATTCCTTTGGTTACTGACTTTCCAACTAGTGCAAACAATTTACAAAGTTTCTATTATTTACTCTATTAAAAGCATTTATAATTTTGCATACCTTTATTAAATCCTCTAACTATATTAAATTTTCAATTTACCTCCTATACTTCAGGGGGAAAAACCACCCAGATTTCTGAGTATCTCCAGGTAACCAAAATCCTACATTGCTGACTGGTCATCTAAAGGAAGCAATTTTACAATATGAATGCAACCCTTTTGACATCTGACTGCCTTTGTGGGCAATTCATATCTATAATTGACCGAGAGAGAATAAGAGGACTTCCTCCACAATTAACTATTTGCCACCCAATTGACTATTAGGAGCAATAAGTTCTGATACAAAGCACTGATACAAAGCACTGTCAAAAGGAATAAAAAGGAAGAGCTTTTGCTTGTTTTATAATCAAAATAGTTGCAAAGAACACCAGGACATAATCACTAGTGAACATTATTAAAGGGAACCTCCAACTACTTTATTAATCTTTTTAAAAGCCAATATTAACAGGGCTAATTAGAAAGAAAGTTAAATGAAGAGGATCAAGGGGTGTTTATGTAAGGCATATGCCAGAATAGATCAGATGGGCCAAATGGTCTATTTCTGTACTACAGATTGTATTTAACTTGGTAGAGTTTCAGCAAGAAAGGTGACACTATAAGGTTTCATAAGAATCATTTTCAGGGCATAGCATCTTTGAACAGGCCAGTCTTTTATTGCCTCTTCCCATGTGCCCCAAGATGGTGACACAATCAAGTGGTTTGCTAAGCCAGTAACAAAACCACTAAGCCTCTACAAAGACATGAGTAACTCATATAGATAATAATATTAATGAGCAATTAAATGTAATTGACAGATTCAGTGTTACTCACATCTTCCAACTATGAATTGAAGCTCAATAAATAAGATCACTTCATGAGCAAATTGAGAGAAAGAAATTGCAAAATAGCATACTTTAGACATGCGGAAGATTCCTGAATGCATCCTCCCAATGAGGAGATACAAAGCCCTCCCACTAAATGTATGACATACACTAGTCAGGAAATGGTACTGCAGGAATTCAAGAAATGCCAAGTGGTCTGGATTCCATTTTTAGAAGTCCACACGACCCACGCACATTTCAGCTCAGATCAGCTTCATGGAGTTCTGAAAGAACCACAAACTCTGGCATATGCCTCAAAAGATAGGCATATAAAGTCTTGGACTCAATTAGAAAACTACGTGCAAATTATGCAAATTCTCTGAAATGAAGCTATAATTTAAATTTGTAATTATGAAAACTTGAAATCTTCCACAAACCAAGACAATGTAATGGAATGTAATTGTTTGTTTCTTACTCTTTGCAATAAAAAGTGTATTTGAATAGCAACCTGATTTATCTTCAGTAATCAGCTGGACCTAGGTTTACCACAAATAATAAGCTTAATAAATAAAGTTGACATTCCTCCACCTATGATTAACATCATTTTAAAAACAATTTTCCTTGGATTAAACTGAATTATTTACTAATTTAATTGCACTAGTCAATTTAGCAATTTAATATACGTAACATTTACTATGAATTTGAATTCAATTAATAAAACTGGAATATAACAGAAGACAGCTCATTTCAGCAGATAACTAGTGTAAACATCCACCTGGTTCAATGTCCTTTGCAACAGGAGATCTGTTATCCTTGCCTGGTCTCACCTAGATGGGATTCCAGACCAAGAGGGATGTGGTTGATTCTTACCTACACCCTGAAATGGTCCAGCAAACTAATCAGTTAAAGAGCAATGTGGGATGGGCAACAAATGCTAGCCTTGCCCATTATGCCCATATCGCAGCTGACGTCACTTATGTTTAAAACTTAGCAATTTTTTTCATGTATTTGACCAATTACAGATTGGCTAAAACCAGCAGAAACTCAATCATTTTAGGTCAATGCTGAGGGCCTACAAAGTCCATGATTACCTCTTATACATCCCCAAAACCTCCTTAACATTGAGAAATTATCCAGTCCGGACACACGGCTTTCAGCATGTGTAACATCCCTGAATACCAATCTGCACATATGCATTGTGAAAACGGCACAAGATTTGACATGTATCTTTTTCTTTAAATGATCACTTTTGTCAAACCCAACATTTCTTTTAAAATTATACTTGTATATACTCCTCTGACTGTTAAACAATGCATTACATATACTCATTTGCTACATTCAACCGTGTATTTCATTTACATTTTTCCCACAGCCCCAAATGTCAGTGTGCACTAAGAAAGACAAACTATTCAATGCAGTTCACAATTTCACTCATTACCTTTCAATATGACACGCCAAGCAGTCAATCAAGCAACAGCCAAATGAAGATGCACCTTTACAACTCCATGCAAAATAAAATTCAGATAATATGCTTGCCTAGTAAAATTTTGGCATCTTCCACATCAAAATCGCCATCTCCATCAGCATCATAGACTCCAAGCCTTCCTATTTAAGGATGAAAGAAAGAAAAAACAATATTACACTCATTACATTTTATTTTAAAGAATGTACACCACAATAAAAACCAACAGAAGTTGAATCTTTGGCTGCTCAAGTTGAAAACCCTCGATGGAGTGCAGCAAAGGCATAACAGGCTGATTCTGGGGATGGCAGGACTGACGTATGGGGAGACATTAATTAGGTTGGGATTGTTTTCGCTGGAGTTCAGACAAATGAGGGGGGATCTCAGAGACTTATAAAATTCTAACAGGACTGGACAGGGTGGATGTTTCCGATAGTGGGCGTATCCAGAACCAGGGGTCACAGACTGAGGATTCGGGGTAGACCATTTAGGATCGAGATGTGAGAAATTTCTTCACCCAAAGAGTGGTCAGCCTGTGGAATTCATTATCACAGAAGTAGTTGATGTCAAAACATGGAATATATTCAAGAGGCTGCTAGATATAGCATCTGGGGTGAATGGGATCAAAGGTTATGGGGAGAAAGCAGGATTAGGCTATTGAGCTGGACGATCAGCCATGATTGCGATGAACAGCGGAGGTAGGCTCGAAGGGCTGAATGGCCTCCTCCTATGTTTCTATGAAGAGTAATTCATACACCAGACTCAGTGTTAACTCTGCCTTCTTCCCACAGATGTTGCCAGACCTGCTGAGTTCTATCAGCAACAAGTTTTGTTTCAGATCCCCAGTTCTTAGCTTTTATTACAGTAATTACAGTATGTTCGAACAAATTTCACCTGACACTTAAAATCAAGACCACAAGGGATAAGTCACCGGAGCATCAGCCTAAGAAATATCAGATAAGAGCCTTATGGCATCCATTATAATTATTCAATTTGGGGAAGATGTATTAAAGTGAAGGGAAATGTGATAAATTAAACAGATATACAGGCCAAGACAGCAATAAAGGTATTGATAGTAAGAGTGGCAGGAAGGGACCAATCATACGAGCTAGAGATTGCATCAGTAATAAAAAGACCAAACATGTATGATCTGATTATCATATTGATGATAATTCTCTATGATGGCTAAGGTTGGGACCTGAATATTCATAGAGTCAGAGTTTATACAGTATGGAAAAGATCGTTCAACCCACCATGTCCAGGCCAGTTATCAAACATCCATCTATTCTAATCCTATTTCCAGCACTTGGCCTGTAGCCACGAATGCTATGTTGTTTCAAGCGTTCATTCAAATACTACCTAAAAGTCTTAAATGACATTTTAGCAGGAAGGGGAAAGGTGGAACGCGAGCTCTTAAGGATAGAAATCCCACGACACCAGGTTATAGTTCAACAGGTTATTTGAAAACATAAGCTTTCGGAGCCTCACTCCTTCTTCAGGTGTTAGTGAGAGAGGTGGTATCAGACACAGAATTTATAAGTAAAAGATCAAAGGGTCACACAGCTGATGAGGAAGTATTAAACAAGCTTAAGATGTAAAATCCCTGGGAAATCTGACCTTTTCCACCCCAGACCAACACCTGGACCCCCTCATCTTAATTAAGGATGGCATCAGTACAATAGACAGAAATTACCTGACTAGGGTAAAGCTAAGAAAAAGCAAAAGGTTAAGAAGTCACTTATAGATCCCATCAATATAACTGCACTTTAGATTAGGATGCACAGGAATAAATAATGGAAGCTTATGAAAAAATAATGGTAACAACCATGAGTGGTTTTAATCTACATACTAAATGAACGAATCAGAATGGTGAAGATAGCTTGAAAGATGAGTTCAATGTGCTTCTTGGATAGTTTCTTACGGGAGAGCCAAACAAAGAGTAGGCTATTCCACATATGGTAGTATGCAATGAAACAGATTAACGATCACAGTGAGGAGACCCCTAAATAGCAGAATTTTTCATTCTGTTTGACGGACAAAAGAGCAAGTTTAAGACTGTAGTTTCAAATTTAACTAAAGATAACAATGAGGGCATTAAGACAGAACTGGCTAAAATGAACTAAGAAATTGGGTTAAAGGGCAGTTCAGTAGAGGTACGGTGGCAGACATTTATGATATTTCATAATACTCAAAGATACATTGCTATGGGAAAAACAGATTCTCAGGAAAGGATTCATCTTCTGTGGCTAAGTAAGGAAGTTAAAGATCACACAAAATGAAATAAAGAATGTATTATATTATCAAGTTCAGTAACAGGTCAGATGAGGCGAAAATAAAGAATGACTTAAAAAAGGAGTACAAGAAAAAAGCTAGCAAGAAATATAAATACATAGGAGTTTTTCCAGGTATTAAAAAGGGAATAAAGTAAACTAAGCATTGATACTCCAGTGTGTATGTTTGGGGAATTTATAATAGAAAATAAGGGAACCAGGAATAAAATAAATATATTGCATTTGGCTTCACTGTAGAAGAGACAAACACATTCCAGAAATAAATTGTAAATCAAGAGGTGAAAGGGAAGGACAAACCTAAACTAATTTCAATTAACAAAAGGCCACTGAGAAAATTATTAGAACTAAATGTGGACAATTCTCTAGCTCCTGATGGATGGCATCGTAGGGTGTTTAAGTGTAGCTGCTGAGATAGTTGATGCATTGGTTTTAATTTTCTAAAATTCTGTCAAATCTTGGAAATTAGCTGCAAATATTGAAATCCCTTCCAGACGCAATGGTTGAATGACCTCCTTTTGCACGGTGATAATTCTGCTATTTAAAAAATTACAGCAGGGCATTTAGACATCTCAATACAATCAGGCAGTCAATTTGACTTTGTGAAAGAGAAACAGTATTTGATTAATTTAGAGTTCTTTGAAGAAGTAACGAACAGAGTGGATAAAGGGAAACCTATAGATGAGGTGTACTTGTGTTTCCAGAAGCCATTTGACAAGGTGCCACAGCAAATGTTCCTAAACAAAATAAGGTCTGTGTCAGGGATTACACTGACATGAATACAAGATTACTTAACTAACAGGAAACAAAGTAGGTAATATGCAAAATGAGTAGTGCACTGTAGTGATCATAGCAGGGGTCTTTACTACTTGGAATCTAGATCAATGACTTAGATGAGAGAATCAAAAACGATTGCTAAATTTGCTGATGACACAAAAGGTCAGTGAGTAAGCTGGGAAGACAACAAAAGGAGTCTGCCGGGGGTAGAGAAAGGTTAAGTGAGTGGGCAAAAAAAAATTGGTAGATGGCATATAACTTGGGGGAAAAAGTGAATTTGTCTATTTGGCACAAAGAATAGAAAAGCAGCATATTATTTAAATGTAGAAAGATTACAGAACTCTACATTACAGACGGATGCTAAATTGCCCATTGTGTCTAGGGTGGGAAACTCTTCGGGTGGTCAGTGTAGGCTCGATGGGCCAAATGGCCTGCTTCCACACTGTAGGGCTTCTATGATTCTACAATCTGGGTGTTCTCATACAAGGAATGTGCAAGATCCTAAGAAGAACTGACATGGTGGATGCTGAAAAGGACAGGGCCTCCCATTTAAGATTGAAGTAAGGAAAATATCTTTGTCTTGGAGGGTCATGAGTCTGTGAAATTCTCTTCCCATACAACAGTGGAGGCACACATATTTAATATTTTAAAGCAGAGTTAGATAAATTCTTGACCATCAAGGAGTCAAAGCCAATAAACAGGAGAAAAGTGGCGTCCAAAACCAGATCAATCATGACCTTATCAAATGGCAGAGAATGCTCAAAGTGCTGAATGACTTATGCCTACTCTTAATTTGTACATTTGTATAACTGTGTTTAAGACCTTCAGGAATGCCACTTTAAAGATCCATATTCTGTGGCAAGAGGAAACAATTCAATGCAATTAAGATAAAAATAGCCATAAGATTAGTCCAAAGTTCTTGAAGATGAAATACACAATTTTGGTAACAGTAAAAATATTTTTTTCAAGTCAAAATACTTTATGCATAGTCACTAAAGACTACTGTTGACAAGATTCAAGTTAATTCCCAAATTTATTGCTCAGCTACTTAATAAGCATCAGCAACAAAAATATAAAATAAAGCAATGTTCCAAATGAGATGTACATAAAATCACAAAACCATAAGAGCACAGAGGGAGACTATAATGTAGACAAGCGCAACTCACCTAGCCCCATTCATCCTCCATTCCCTAGTTTCCACTTTTCCATTCAGATAGTTATTCAATTTTTGTGAAGGCTTTAATTTAATTTGTGAAGGTCTACCTCCACTACACAAGCAATGTATTCCAGACCTCAACCACTTGCTGCATAGAAACATTATTCCTCATGTGACAATTGCTTTTCTTGCCAATCCCCTTAAACCAGTGTCCTCTAGTTGTCAATCTTTCTGCTAACACCAACAGTTTGCCCCTCATGGAGTCACCTCATGATTCTGAGCAGTGTTATCTAATCTCCTCTTCTCCAAAGTGAATAGCTTCAGCTTCACGAATTTATCCACATTCCTGGAATCATTCACTTGAATGCATTCTATACCACCTGTAAAGCCTTCACATGCTTTCTAAAGTCTACTGCATCAATTTGAAAGCAATACTCCAGTTAAAGCCAGGCTTGTTTTATACAGGTTTATTATAATTTTCTTGCTTTTCTATTGTTATGTATCCATAAAACCCAAGATCCCATATGCTTTATTGACTCTTTCCATACTGCACTGCTACCTTCAATGATTTGTGCACATGCATACACCAGTCACACTCTGCTTGTAAATTTGTTTTAGAATTGTTTTTTACATTGTATTGACTCTCTTCATTCTTCCTACCAAAATGAATCACTTCTCACTTCACATTTCTGTACTAACTTTCATCTGCCATTTAGAGACAAAAAAAACTGCTGATACTGGAATCCAGGTAGACAAACAGAAGGCTAGAAGAACACAGCAAGCCAGGTATCATCTGGAGGAAAGAAGCAGTCAATGTTTAACGTATTACCCATGAAGAAGGGTAATACCTGAAACGTTGACTGCTCTTTTCCCCTAGATGCTGCCTGGCTTGCTGTGTTCTTCCAGCCTCCTGTTTGCTCGT